AGAGGTGAGACCCACAGGTGGAAAATGCCTTACACTTGTCCCTAGCAGAGCATATTCTAATTAAGGATGAAACAATCTTAGAGTATGAAAAGAGGATCCCAATGAAGGTAAGCATGACTAGCAGGGCAGTAGACACACACACAAAGATGTTATTAATGAGGGTGTCAGATCAGGCCACTTTGAGATTCTGATCCAGTTCACAGAAGAAATTTGGAATCTGAGTGTCTGTATAGAAGTTCAGCTATACAGTAAGTAGACTATGGATCAGGGACACCCAGAAAATGATTACCCAAGATATCAGAATGAACAAGCCACAGAGCTGGGGATTCGTGATGGCCGCATAGTGCAGAAGGTTACCGAAAGCAACAAATCGGTCATATGCCATGACAGTCATGAGAAAATTGTCCATTCCAATAAAAACAATAGAGAAATACACTTGTGTAAGGCATCTGATACAGGATATGCCTTTGTGTCTGAAAGTTAACCAGCATCCTTGGACCTGTGGTAGAGACCAATCAGATGTCCACAAAAGACAAATTAGTGAAGAAGTACATGGGGCTGGGAGTCAGAACTGATGGCCAAGATAAAGCAGATTCCCAAGCACAGATAACAGATACATGGACAGAAAGTGTCCAAAGAGAAGAGACTGCAGTTCAGGATCCTGGAGATTCCCAGCAGGAGGAATTCTGAAACTTTTGCTGTGAACTATGAACTCAAATGCCTTTGCATAGTAAATAAAACCATACAAGTAAATATCTTCTTGGTAATCTTAGCTCTTTCTCAAAATCCATCTGATATCAGTAATGATAATTCCTACTTCCTGTGCTTTTAGTGAATTTAGCTTGAATTTCTTGTCAAATATACTACTCCAACTGCTTTAAAAAAGTGTTCAAAATTATTTTACAGTTGTTGTTGTTGTTGTTGTAGGGTTATAGAATTCACTACCACTCATATGCAGATGATATAACCTTACTTGCTAAAACTGAAGAAGACCTGAATCTCTTGCTGTAGAGGTTCAAGGACTGTAGACTTCAATATGGATTGAAGTTTAACATCAAGAAGACAAAAGATTCTCACCACTAGGACAATTGGCAACACCATGATAGAAGGAGATGAGATAGAGGTTCTTAACAATCAGAGGTTACTTGGTTCCATAATCAACACTATTGGCAATAGCAGTCAGAAAATCAAAAGAAGAATTACACTGAGAAATTCTGCTGTCAGGGACCTCTCCAGAGGGCTGAAAAGCAACAATGGTGCACGTAATCCAGGTCCTGATCTATGCAATAACTTGTTATGCATCAAAAAGCTAGACAGTGACTAAGGAAGACAGAAGAAGAATTGATGCATTTGAATTGTGGTGCTGGAGGAGAGTCTTGAACATAGCATGGACCGCCAAGAAAACAAACAGGCAATGGTGGTGGGGGCGTGGAAATCATGGGGTTGCAGAGTTTGGTGCGTGGAGGGAAGGGGTGAAGGAATTGGGAAAGATCCAGTGGGATCTGAAAAGATAGGGTATTAGTAGGTGCAGATGATTATGATTAATTTTATAAAACACAATGTATGGGAATGATCATATGAAACACAAAGTGAGTGAAAAGATGTATGAAACAAATGAAAATGAATTTATATGCAAACCAACCTAAGGTTACTTATGATTGGCTGTTGTATTTTTAGACTTTCTCTTGTTCTCTTTTATACCACCATTTCCCCTTTAATACCTATTGTTATCGTTCATCATCAAAATAATGAACAAATATTTTGAGACAACCTTATGGTATAGCAACAAGTATCCATGGAAGCTTCAAGGATATGCCACATAGCCTAGGGAAATGTGTCAATGCTGAGGATCCCTCAGATTTGTTTAATTTTCTGCTTTGTTGTTGAGTCTGTAAACTAGTGGATATTCATTCTATACCATTTATTTTCCCCATCATTTCTTTATAAATGACAAGGAAAATTTTGTGGAATTTTCTAAAAATATTTTTATATCTGTTTGCTTATACTTTTAATGAAGTCATCTATTTCCTTGCTGAAATTTTATATACACATACTAAGACTGCAGCCTCCAATATGGACTGACGCTCAATGTCAAGAAGACAAAGATTCTCACCACTGGACCAATTGGCAGCATCAGGATGGATGGTGAAGAGATTGAGATTGTTCACAGCTTTAGTTTGCTTGGCTCCATGGTCAACACTCTTGGCACCAGTAGCCAGGAAATTAAAAGGCGCATTGCCATGGGAAAATATGCTTTTAGGGACCTCTCCAAAGTACTGAAGAACAATGGTGTCTCTCTGGAGACTAAAGTACATCTGATACAGGCCCTGGTCTTCGCAATCACTTGTTATGCATCAGAGAGTTGGACAATGACCAAGCAGGATAGAAGGAGAATTGATGCCTTTGAGCTGTGGTGCTGGAGAAGAGTATTGAGAGTACCATGGCTGCTAGGAAAACAAACAGATTCATCCTGGAAAGGGTTAAACCAGGTGGCTCCTTGGAGGCAAGGATTGTGAGGCTCTGTCTAACACACTTTGGACATGCTGTAAGGAGAGACCGGTCCTTGGAGAGGGATATCATGCTTGGGAGGTTGGAGGGACAGCACAGGAGGGGAAGGCCCTCTATGAGGTGGATTGATTCGGTGACTGGGGTAATCAGGATGGGGGTGTCAGAGACAGTGTGATTGGCACAGGACAGAGCAGAGTTTAGAGCTGTTGTACATAGGGTCGCTATGAGTCGCAAGTGACTCGACGGGACATAACAACAATGAGAACAACATGCATTATTTAAAGTCGAACAATGAAGTATCCAACTAATACTTCAGAACAGTCAAAGCAGAGTGTTTGCAGTAATTAAGAACAAAAGAGGGTGCAAGAAAGCATCTGATGATGCCCTCCACATAATCCTGGAAGACCAAGTGAGACATATATAAATGATGATCCTGGAAGGCTAATCCTCAAATGTGATGCTAGACACTGGAATAAAAGCCAATTGGAAAGGAAGATAGAATGAAAACAAAGACTGAGAAAAGAGCCACACAGAGACTTTGTGTAATGTCTGGCCACCTTGAGGGTTTGTGCGGATGGGAGTATATGTATTTTTGTTTTGTTTTTAACTTTTTTCTTGCTGTTTGAGTGAAAATTTATACAGTCATTTGGTTTTCCACTAAATAATTCCTTTACATTCCGTGACATGGAGTACAGTTACTGAATCATGTTAAAAATCAGAGCTCTATCTTCACCACTTCCAGGGAAACTAGAATTTTCCAGCTAGGGAGTGGGGTTGAGGTTACTGTTGTTGACAAGTAAACAGACACAGACACTGCCGCAGTTTAGCAAAACAAGTGAAAAAGATTTATTAATACAATACAAAGGAGGTACAGCTGCTGACAGAGGTATTGCACTGCCTAGTGCAAAAAGAGTTAAAGTAGGTGGGAGAAAGGGAGACATTCTCTTTGGAATAAGAGAAGTGGACCCTTACCTCTTGACACAGTGCCTGCAGACAAGGAGAGAGACCCCTGGATTAGCATTGGCGTACCCGTTTCCAGTTTCATGAGACTGGTCTTAGCCTAGCCTTCCGAGGTGCGCGAGGTTGGTTGTGGCTTGGTTCCCCTAGTTTCTGGGGAGTGGTTACTTCCTGGTGTAACATCCCCTTTTGACTTTCTGAAAAGATCGATGTACCTTTATTCATGCATATTTTCCTTTTTTCCACTCCTCCTCAATTCCCTTTTTAATGTGTGTCCTGTTCCACGCTGATAATTGTTTAGGGAATAACTTGTAATCCCTCTTATCCATTACCAAATGTTTTGAATCTTAGGTGATTCCATATTTAATATGCAATGATATGTCTCGTGAAGGGGGGGGGTGTGTGTTCCATCGCATACATGTGTGTATGTCCATGTGGTGTTTGTGTGTGTGTGTGTGTCTTAATTTTAATTATAGCTAAAATAGCATAAAGATAGAGGGAATTAAAGAAGAAACAAAGGAAATAAGTTGGAAGAAATTAAAAAAGGAACACAGAGATTAATACTATTTTTAAATTAACCGATGCAGTGCATTATTATGTTGCTGTTGTGTACTATCCAATGGAAACCAACTCATCTCTGCCCTCCAGTGGGTTTTAAGAGACAATAAATTGCATGGGAGAAGATTGTCCATCCTTGTCCCACCATAATGTATCAAATCTCGAGTCCTACTCTTGAAATAAAAATTACATTCTTTTTATAAAATTAGTAAAGCTAAGATTATGATTTCAGCAATGTTTCCAAAGATTTAATCTATCTCATATTTAGACAACTTCCCTTAAATTGTTGAGAGAAAGAGTATATCTCAAAGAAATATTATTAGGATTAAATTAAATAATATATGTCAAGTTAGGAATAGAGTCCAGATCTGACAACACTTTGTTACTACTGCTCCAAATAGAATTTATTTTGTCTTTCACATGAAAACACATGTAAAATTAATATTAGGAATGTTGTTGTTGTTTGAGAGGTCAACCTTTTGTATATTACATCAGTACTTGATGTGGTAAATGCCACAAATCTAAAAATGAAATTTTAAGAATTGCTGTAAAAAAAAATTAATCAGGAGAATTCTGGTGGCCTAGTGGCAAGAAGCTGCACTGCAATCCCAGAGGTGTAAAGTTTGAATCTACCAGATGCTTTGCTGGGGAAAGAGGGACAATCTCCTCCTGTACCAGGAAGATCTGATTTGATGGTAGACACACACAAAAACAATTTATAATTCTTTTTGAAAAAATGTTAATCTGAGAAAGAACTTTATAGGTAAGATATAGGGAAAAAAAGAGTCAAACACAATTACTGAATTGAGAAAAAGAATGAAATAATAAGTACAAAGTGAAGTTATAGGTTCTTTGGTAATAGAAGAAATTAGGTATTCCACTGAGGAAAGAAAACAAAATTGGAACATATGAATTAATGATGTCGGATTTTGGAGACAATGAAGGCCATTTATAATAAGATCAGTGGCTATCACAGATCATAGACAAGAGATTATTCTACTGAGAAGTCTTCCCAGGGCCCCCTTCACATCCTTGTTCCTTAAACTGTAGATGAAAGGATTCAGCATGGGTGTGACCACAGTGTACATCACCGAGGCAACAGAGCTCCTCTGGGAAGAATGGGTCACAGCTGAACTGAGGTAGACTCCAAGGCCTGTCCCATAGAACAGGGAAACTACTGAGAGGTGGGACCCACATGTGGAAAATGCCTTGTACTTGCCTTCAATAGAGGACATTCTCATTAAGGAGGAAACAATCTGAGAGTAAGAAAAGAGGATCCCAGTGAGGGGAAACACACCCAATAAGGCTGTGGCCACATACAAAAAGATGTTATTCATGAGGGTATCAGAACAGGCAATCTTTAGAATTTGATCCAGTTCACAGAAGAAATGAGGAATTTCAGTGCCTATACAAAAGGTCAGCTGTGTCATGAGTACAATATGAAGCACAGAGACCCAAAAAATGACCACCCAAGACACAAAAACCAACAAACCACATAGTCTGGGGTTCATAATAACTGTGTAGTGTAAAGGGTGACAGATGGCCACAAACCGATCGTAAGCCATTACAGTCAGAAGAAAATTGTCCAGTCCTGCAAAAGTCGTGAAGAAATACACCTGAGTAAAGCATCCTGTGTAGGAGATGTCTTTGCTCTGTGTGTGGATATTTACCAGCATCTTTGGAACTGTGGTGGTCACGAAACAGATGTCAACGAAGGACAGGTTGGAGAGGAAGAAGTACATGGGGGTGTGGAGACAGGGGTCAGAGCTGACAGCCAGAATGATGAACAGGTTCCCCAGCACAGTGACCAGATACATGGACAAGAAGAGTCCAAAGAGAAGTGGCTGCAGTTCAGGATCCTCTGAGAGGCCCAACAGTAGAAATTCTGAAATTGTTGTGTGATTTTTTGGATCCATTTAGTCTGTATGTAAGCTGGAAAAGGATAGCCATTTTCATTGTATAGTAGACTAATATTACAGTTAATTATATAACCTATATTTTGTTATTATTCCCAATGATAGTGACTCTCTCATTGTCAGGTAGCCTATTGACATTTTAAATGCGTATAAGCCTTCAGATTGCTAAATTTAGTAGAAATTTCTTTCTTTAACATTATTTTTACTGATTAGAATTTTTTAATTTTAATCTATTCATGTAACAGAAATGTTCCTTTGATAAGACACTTCCAACTTCATTGAAATACTATGTGAACTCGCCCCTATCTTATTTTCCTCATTTTTCCCATCATCAACTCTATCCCCATTGTTTGATACTGTTGTTAGGTGCCATCAAGCCGACTGTGACTCATCTTGGTCCTATAAGTGTATCTGCAATATCCTGTGTCATCTTCGCCATCACACGTGCTTAATCCCACTGCTGCGTTTACCATGTCATTCCATCTTGTTGAGTATCTTCTTCTCTTCTGCTGACCCTCCACATTTCCAAGCATGATATTGCTCTCCAAGAATTAGTCCCTTATGACAAACTGCCCAAAATATGTGAGATGAACTTTCAACATTCATTCTTTTGAGGAGCACTTTGGTTTCACTTTCTCCAAGACAGACCTGTTTGTTTTCTTGGCAGTCCACGGGATAGTCATTACTCTTCTCCAAGAAAATTAATTCTTTTTCTGTCTTCATTACTCATTGTCCAAATTTCAAATGTGGAATAAAGCAATTGAAAAAGAGTATGACTTGGATCAGGTCTCTTCAAGCAACTTTTAAACTGATATTATTAGCAATTTGGAGAGGTCTCTCACAGTAGGTTTTCCCAACGCAACATGACCTTTGATATCTTGACTGCTGGAACCAAGGATACTGATTGTGAATCCTGGTAAGACGAAGTCCTTGACAACTTCAGTATTTTCTCCATCCAGTCCAGTTATGTCCATTGGCCTGGTGGTGAGGATTTTGTTTTCTTGATGTTGAGATATAATCTACATTATAGGTATAACCTTTGATCTTCTGTAGCTTAAGATTCCAGTTGTCCTCACTTTAACTGAACAAATTTGTGTCATCTGCCTATGCAGGTTGTTGATGAATCTTCCCTGGAAGTATTTTTCACAGTAGATTTGATCCCCCACAAGGAAGTGTCCTTTGTGTTTGATATCAGTGCCACAGTCAGTTCATATGAAGCCCTCAGGGTGGCAGTGCCTGTCCCAAAGCTTCACAATATGCCTACAACGCCAGTGACACTTTTGTCACTTGTGGGCAACTTCTGAGCATTCCAGTCACATTAGTGACTGAAGCCTTAACACTTCCGAATCCTGAAGGCTTGTTAGGTTCCCTTTTCTCCTCAGACTCCACTATCTCTTGCAAAACCAGGAATGAAGTGGATAGTTTTGCAGGCTCACATAAGTCTTGTTTTTTCTGAAGTGTCTTGTACACTTCAAATTTTTTTGTCAATGACCAGGCCTCCTGGGACCTGAAAATGACCTAAGGGCCTCCTATTTGTCTCTTCCCCACTGGCTGCAGGCTAGACTCCAGTGGTGTGTGGAAATTGGAGACATTTTCCTAATAGTAGAGACCTACTGAGTGGTTTGTATAGTTGATGATGACCCAGTGAGCAGGTGAGGATGTGAAGGGCACTTCAGCTGTGGGCACTTCTATGCAGGAAATCTTGAGATTCAGATGCTAAATTACTCTTGTATAGGTTATTCTTCCCTCCTCCTGTCACCAAACAGGATCAGATTTTATGTCCAGTTCTTTTTATAGTAAAAATTATGTCACTCAGCTTTGATTTTATTCTGAGCTTCAAAGTGTGTCATAGCACCAGCATTTTCTCCACCAGTGGCTGTGATTATGTCACTGTTACATAATGGCTATCTTGCTTGCAGGAATAACCTGAGAAATGGTGAGCAGTTGCTCAAAGTCCTTGCCCCCTACTAGGTTGAAGTCCCAGGGCCTGAGGCCCTGGAGAATTATAAGCTAGATAGTCTCTCTGGTCATGGTGAGATCACTGTGGTTTGGACAGATGAGGTAGGATGCTGTCTGCCTCGCATATTTCTTGTTACAACCTGTTAAGCATGTTCAGTGTTGCATCTGTTTGTTGGAACTTGTCAGATGGTATTCTATCAATTCCTGGAACCTTGTTTTTCTAATCTCTTCAATGCAGCTTGAACTTCTTCTTTTATTAGTATTCATTCTTGATTATATGTTACTTCCTAAAATGGTTCTGTTGGCCAAGTTTTTTTTTGTGCAGTGACTGTGTATTCCTTTCATCCTTTGATGCTTACTGGACATTCAAGATTTTGCCCATAGCATCCTTCCTCATTGCAATGGGCAGCTTGACGTACTTCTTCAGTTCTTTCAGCTTGAGAAATGCCAAGAGAATAATTTTTATTTTCTGATCTCCAACTCTTTGCAAGTTTCGTTGTAATAGTTTGCATTGTCTTTATGTGCTTCTGTTTGACACTTTCTGCTCAATTCTTTTATTTCACCTTCATTTCACTTTGTTTTGTCTTCTTGACATTGTGTCTCTTCTGACACAATTCTGTCCCCTTTGATATTTTGTCTTTGTAATTAACTTTTGTTTTCTTCCTGGATAATATCCTTGATGTTCTTTAACAGCTCAACTGGTCATGTATTATTAGCGTCCAATGCCTCAAAACTATTCTTGAGATGGTTTTTTTAAAGTTCAGGTATGATAGATCAAGTTAGTATTTCACTTCTTATGTATTTGTTTTCATTTTTTCCCACCTTCTGTGTGCGTTTGCATATGAGGAGTTGATGCACATGTTATTGATTAAAGATCTAGTTGAAAATGAAATGTCTTAAAATTGTGACATAGTGCTTCTTATTGATGTTACAGATTACACTTAATGTCTTCTATTTTTCTTTATAAAAAAGTCTGGACATTGCTATCACCTTTCTTGTGTGATCAAGAATAGCTTTTGTGAACAGCTGGATCTCAGTTAATAGCAGTTATTATGATTATTATTATTAGTAGTAGTAGTAGTATTTTTTATACCAATTATTTTGAATCTATAATTTCCCCCAGCCTACAGTATAAACGTGTCATTCAAAAAGTTGGTTCTTTAATCATACTGCCTAAAATAGAACTACGAATCTACCAACTTACTACTTTGTGTGATCTTGAGAAGTTTTCCGTATATCTCTTATATGCAAATATTTCACCTGTACAATTGGAATAGTAA